TGCTCTCAGGCCCAGCTGGAACAGGCAAGGTTGCAGGTGATCAGATTTTGAATATCTGGTGTCTCATTCACCAGTGAAGCCGCTGACTGTGTTTTGGTGGGTATTGCCCATATAAAATTGCATTCAAACCGTGCGCCACGGGTTAATAATTCAGCATCCGTTGGGCCTTCCATTGTGCTAAGACTTTATTGCAAGTAACAGCCATAGAAAAATACTTGTCTTGGTCTGTGGGAGCGACTGGTCTTTCCCCAGGCATGCTACTAATCAGCTGCATTTCCCTGCAGCTGGTGGAAGTGAAGGGTCCCAACGATCGCCTGTCCCACAAGCAGATCGTCTGGCTGAGTGAGCTGAAGCAGCTGGGGGCTGCAGTGGAGGTTTGTCACGTGCAAGCCGTCGGGGGCAAGAGTAAACGCCTCAGCTGATAACAGGTCCTGAGCACATGGGTAACCGGGGTGGGTTTGGACAGAACTGGCGTGACACACTCACAGTTGGCTGCTGCTTATTAAAAGTAATTCCCTCTCAAATGCTGGTTTCTTGCAACATTACTGGGGTGGTTCTTAGCACAAAACCTTCTAAAAATACTTGAAGATTGTCGGTATGATTTACTGTGTGCCACTTTGTGTTAAGGACAAAGCCCTTCTTTTCTGCAGACGGTTCATAACTTTTTCTATGAAAGGTAACCTAGGGGTTTTGCCCACTAAAGAGAAACAGCTGCAGTCACCCTGGTGCCCAAATTCTGATCAGTTCCACACAGCCTGTGCAGCCCAAGCTCATGATGTTGACCAAGTTTCCTTGCAAGGTGCGAGTCCAGCACCTTTCCAGAACTGTCAGGATCAGTATGGTCCTGTAACTGCTCCCACTTTGAGATATTTCAGCTTTGCAGTTTAATGGGAGGGGGGAAAAAAAAAAGGGTCCTGGTTTGAAAGCCCCGCGATAGAAGTTCTCTGGGGCTCCTGGCACAGGTCGGGGCAGTCACGGGGGGAGCAGCTGTGCCTATGGGGATTAGCTGTATAAAGGGGGAAGACAAGAGGGGTTCAGTGCCAAGATCATCGCCTGTCATTATGATCTGGTTTTCCCCACATAAATTGATGTGTTTTCTCATTCAGAAGTCAGTCAGTCAATTGAAATGGAACCAAAAAGATGAGTTCTGTTCTCAAGACACCAAAAATCTCAATTTTAACACGTAGCCAACAACTTTTCTCTGGAGTCTTCATTCTCATACTGAGTAAGTTTTCCTGATACCAGAAATTCTGTTTACCATAAAAACCAGCAGACACTGTGAGAGAATGCAGTGAGAAATGAACATCATTTCCACATATTTTTTTATTAATCATCTTTCTACAGAGCAGTGTCCCTGCTTTGCTTGGGAAAAAAAGACACCCCTCCTGTTTGTTTTTTTTTGTTGTTAGAGGAAGTGAAAGCAAACCGCCCGAAGTTCACTACGGAAAGGTACGAACTTTTATTTAGTCTAATTTACTTCACATTCACAACTCAGCATCAGGATTTTATAAGCTTCCTGGGCACCGCTACTTTACTTAATAAATCATTATCAGGCACAAAGGTTTTAGTTTCAGTTGAAATGGTGAATTCTAAACTATCACAGCAAGAGTGTTAGAAAACCTAGAGCAATTTGAGGTACAGATTTCTGTCTCTTATGTTAGAGGCAAATTGAAGATCGAGTCCTTTGCTTAAATATATGTTAGAAAGTTTTTGGTTTTAATGTCTTTCCGTCTGAGAGTAAGCCAAAACCTTTGCACCACTTGCTACATTTTCATTAGAAATACAAGGCAGTTAATATCAAAGTGGTATCGCAGGTAGGTGCACGTCAAACACGTGCAGGCCCGGCTGTACAGATCCACACACACACACTTTTCAATGCACTCTGGAATGAAAAATTTCTCTGATACATGGCAGTAAAGGTGCAGAAAGCTGCCCTGCCATGATCGCTAAGCATGTCTACAGACAGCTCTGCCTCACAGTCATTAATGACACTGGAGGTATTTAACCATAGCAACCAGCACTCTGTATGCCCCACCACGTGTGGTTTACAGTGTAGTACAAAAGTCAAAACAGCCCGTAACAGCCAAAACAGTGCACCTTTTCTAGAAAGAGACCAAAAAAACCACCAACAAAAAGCTTCCTGGCAGGTGTTCTACTCCTGCAACACCAAAACGGCATTAACAGTGTTTTAAATGGTGAACAGAAATTAAAATTTGAAAATGTGTACACATACACACACACACACACACACACACGTGCACTCGGGTGTCAGGATTCTGTACCTAGACCGTAACGATCCATACGTTGCACAGCCCAGCATTGCTTCTGAAGGTCATGAAAGATGTGCAGAGCAGGCCCTACTGACGATTGATAAGGCAACTGTGCAGAGTGGAGAACACTTTTCAATGGACACTTCAGTACCAGGCTTTCAAAAGTAAACTAAAAAAAACCCAGACGTTTAACTTAAGAGGAAGAAACCAGAGGCACAGGTTGCTCCCGTTCCCCAGCCGGCCCCTGCCAGCACAGGGCACAGAACCGCGTCCCCGTGTGCGGGGCAGCGCCACTCCCTGCCCCCCTCGCTCCCCGCCCCGGGGTCCCCAGCCGTCCTTCTCTCAGCCTCGCTCACCTAACTCCCCTTTTGAACTGTGCACAATCCCTTTTTAAGTCTGTTTGGAAAAGAGATGTTTAGACAGGTTTTCTTTGTTATAAAGGTGTATTATTTGTAACCCCCTCCCATGCTCTATATAAAGTACAAAGGCCCTCTGCAGCATCTGTACACATCTTAGCACTGAAATGTAAAAATCTCTGAGATCTCCTTACAAAAGACAATCCTGTTTAAATATAGTACCCTTTGTTTTTTCTCCCCAAAAGGTACTAGCCTAAACTACCGGTTTCTTTTTTTTTTTTTTTTTTTTTTTTTAATTATTCCACCAGCTGTCTATGTGGAATAATTTATTTACATATTTTTGGTACAATTAAACCAAAAAAGTTACATTTTTAAGGAGGAAGGGGAAAGGAAAAAAAAAAAAAGACACCATCTGTAATTTTAAAAAGAAAAAAAAAAAGGTACCAAAAGACACCAAGCACACAGGTTGAGGTCTTTTATGTCAAGTATCAGGCCAGGGAAAGCAGTAAGCTATTAAAAGAAACAAAAATCAAATTAATAAAAACCAAAAAAAAATCACAAAAGCAAACTGATACAAACATTTGAATAATGAATTGAACAAGGTAGATGACCGCTCCAGCAAGCTTGTAAATAAACACAACTAGTTTGTGGACCATTTAACATGCTCAGCCTGTCTTGCAGCAGAATTAGGCAATTGAGGTGAATACACGTTTTTTCCTCACAAACAGTTGTCAAGCCCCCAGCCGGCCCTGACACCCTGACCCGCAGGCGTGCACGCGCACACCCGCACCCACGCGGCTCCTCTGCACAAACCCACTTCTGTGGGATGTGGTTAGTTAGACCAGGAGCTCCACAACCCCTCCCCAATTAGGGAACCCCTGCAGCGAACCCCCACCGGACGCTGGCCCTTCCCAGCACCTCTCGGGCCACTCCAGCTGCACGGCCTCGAAAACACCTGAGCCACCTCGGACACCCACTGTGGTGAAGACTTGGTTCAGTTTTACAGACAAGCGAAGGGCTCCGGCTCCTGTCCCTCCTCACTTTTGTTTAAACTGACGTACTCTACAATCGGCATCACAGAGGTTTTTTCCCCCCTCAATAACAGAGAAGAGGTTCTAGTCTATCTATCTAGTCAACGCGTGACTAGAGGCTGGGTGCTGGTGCCGTCGTGTTCGTGTTTTACACAGACATCAGTCAGTACCGAATTCAGCCTCGCGATTACGGGAGCTGACAGAAGCCTCAGCCTACAAGGACACTTTGCTGTTCCTCCACCTGCCCAATACACTCCACTTGCTTTTCTGCCTTGAGGCTTTTACTGGCATCCAGGGGAGACTGACGATTTAGGTTTGAAGGCAAAGAGGAGGCTGCTGCGTTCAGCAGAGGGAGGTGGTTGGACTGAATTCCCTCCGGCAGTGCTTGTCCACCACAGTGTCCGTGCCTGGGGGAAAAGGCACCGCTGACCACTTTTCTTCCAGCACCTGCTGACCAGTGACAGCAGCAGCAGCAGCCCCCCGCAGGGATTTGGCCACCTGGAGCGTGTCCTCTTTCTGGGTGCGAATTCTGCTGAAAGCTACTTCAGCCTACATCTGGGTGTGGAGAGGGCTCAGCCGGGAGCAGGATCCAGAGCATTCCAGGTGTTCACATAAGAACGTGAGGCTCTCATGAGGCTTATGAACAAGCTTAACCTTAAAGAGAAAAAACCTCCTGTCCCTTGAGCTGGCTGGATGTTATTTCCAGAAACAGAGAGGGGGAGGCAGGGGGTGGAATTAGAACTTACCGTAACGATCCACTGTAAAAATTGGGGTGGAGGGGTGAGCTACATCAGTCATCTTGCGACTGTTTCCTCCCATTTAAAGGCACTTCTAAAGCTACTACAAAATGGTATCTACAGTAAATGTTTTAAGGTTAACAGTGCATTGTCCTGAAGTTGATTCCTCCAGCCTGAAGTCAAGCCCATGACAAAGAGCACAAATCTGACTACTTGGTAACAAACACATTTTGGGGAGAGAAAGAAAAGGGACACGCAACCCCCACCCCACTGGATACACACGGCATTAACACGTCTGTAGGGTGATCGAGTCACAGAACACGAGTGAGTATGTATGTATATATGTATGTATGTGTGTATGTATGTACGTATGTAGGTGTATAAGTATGCTTCCTGAAGAGGCAATCTGATAAAACTGTTCCCAGATTTCGGCTGTCGGCCCGTGTCCACTGCACCAAGTTTGGACACAAGAGTCACTTCAGTCACTATCTGGGGGAAAAAAAAAAGCTACTTCAAGCAGAACCCATATTAATGAGCACACCAAGCCTCTCCCTTAGCTAATGAAATGCTCCACGGCATATAATGAGCCAAACCACAATCAAACGGAGGGAATTAGGGACCAGAAGCCCAGGCAGATGAAAACTACCGCAGACAAAATTGTGCGATTTGAAGCATGACTCGCTTTGCTTTTAAATATTTGTGCAAAACTTACGTAATGTTTGTATATAAAAATCATTACAGCTTTTAATGCCGCATTTAGCAGTGTTAAGTTAGAAAAGACAAAGTGATCTGCTGTATTCTCCCCCCAAAACTTGAAACCACCACATCGTATCTTAGTCTTCATTCGCCAGCGTCTCGGTGGATAGCCAGATTTTGGCACCACTTAGAAATTTGCTTAAAGGTGTTCCCAGAATGCTCCGCCTGCACAGGTTCCCTACGGGAGAAAATGGGAAGGAAGAGGAGAGAAAGTCTGGGGCCCCCGAGGTGTCACTTAAACCGTTTGCTCTGAAGTACATCCTGCTTTGATCCAGTTCCGAGCAGCTGCCTTGCAGGGAAGAAGAGTTGCTTTTGCACTGCCGAAGATTCCGGTTCAACGCGTCTACTTCATCCACCAGCAAGGAGACTTTACGAAAAGCAGTGATGAAGCCGCCGTGATTGATCTGGGCCTCGGGAACCCAGCGGAAGTAGCACAGTTTCCACAGTTTGATCTGTGTTCCGGAGGTCCGGGGCAGAATCACGCCGTGCAAATCGGCAGGCTTTGCAAACCAGTCTCTGAAGTACTGCTCCATGGTGTTACTCTGACTCTCTGTTTGCTGTAACAAGTCCGGTTTCAGTTTCAGTATCAGGGAGTTTCTTCTTGGAAGGAACTCTTGCTCACTGATGATTCCATTTTTTAATGCTGGTGGGGCACCTCGCAAGGTGGAGCTGTAGTTTTTCTGCAGAAAATAAATACTGGTAATTTTTCCAGTTCATTTGAACAGCAGATTTCCCTGAGCTGCTGGGATGCATCAGCCAGGGAAACGACAGGACTCTTAAAGGGCTTTGAGCTGAGTCACTACCGCAGGGCTCACAGGGCAAATGGCGCAGCCATTACAGAGAACTACGTGGGTTTTCTAGACTTTCTAAAACAAGGAATGATTGAATTAATCGGTATCAGCTGAAAAAAAACCAACAACCCTGGGCGGGGGAATCATTTTTCCACAAGTGAAGTAATGCAAAGGTTGGCCGTGAGCTTGGCCATATCAGCAAATGTCCTGAAACAAGGCTCAGGGATTTGTATCTTCTACAGAAAATCATTTTTTAGGTTGGGAAGTGAAGAGAATGAACACTCCTATTGCTAAGCTGAGTGTATATAACTCGATTTTTAAGCGCTAACACCTTCTGGTTAAGCACAGCAGCAGTCCATTCGCAGACAGACATCACCACAGTTACCTTTGAGCGTTTAAAAGTTTTCACTGCTCCGTTTTGCACGTACGGTGCGCTCTTCCCAACATACAGCGGGTTGTGGAAGAGCAGGCGATCCCGGCTCGTAAACTGAAGGGACCAGTCCCAAACGCAAGGAAACCTGAGGCCTTTCTCATCACCCAGCTGAATGTTTTTGCTTATGGCAAATTCCTGCAAGAAGTTAATGGTCAGGCATATTCAAAATCCAAGCAAACAGGCTTATTAACAAATCCTAATTAGAAACCAGGTCCTGGGCAGAGAAGAGCAGGGGCACAGCTTACAGGTGGCTGCACACTGGAGACCACTGACGTACCCTGGCTTTAAGTTGTGCAACGCAGAGGCAGGACTAATGCTTCCTTAGCAAAAATTACTTTTCAATCCTATTAAATTGTTCGTTTGTTTACTCTTAAACCCCCCAAACTGCTATTTTAACAATACACTAACGGCTGGTCAATGCTCTGCTCCTTTGTAAGGTAGCCACCTACAACTTAGAAGGGAAAATATTTAACAGAGTAAGTTCTATCAGCCTTCAAATGTTTTCTACACACAGCTCTGATAAATCTATTTTTGAAAACTGGAGCTTAAGCGTTCGGTTTTCTGCATACCTTCCTTGTGTGTTACTGTTTGACCTTTCCACGGCCTTTTCCAACTTTTTCAACTATTGAAACAATTACGTCAAGAGATTTCAAAGTTTGCCCGAAGCGTGAAATTCTATTTACTGCCTGTCAATCTATTTACTACCCATCAGCTCCAGACATAAATCTGTCTCCTAGAAAAGTACAAATAATACTGCGCAATAACTATGCTTTTCTAGAAAAAAGTAAAAAACAAATTCCTTAGGCTGTCTTTGTGACTAGTTAGTCTGTGCAAAGACCACCTGAAAGGATATTCCGATCACACTCATCTGGGACGCTCAATATTTCACCCGAATCAGAGCGTGACATTTTGAAAACCAGGAAGGAACACCATTTAGTTAAGAGGACGTCACTTGCAGAAGGGGATGCTGAAGTCTCACACTCACAGTGCTCTCCTTTACTCGCTGGTGAGGACAGTTGAAAAGGAAAGTGCCAAACAGGGAGATGCGCGCGCTGTCGTGCAAAACGGTCAAGTACGTTTCAGAAAACTCGAAGGCTGCTGGGTACTGTTCCAGCAGCTGCCAAACACAGTCAAGAAACATCAGGAACAAAGGAGACTGGAAAAGAAACAGAGAATTATTAGATTTCACAGCAGCTTTTCCCACGTCATAGCAATCTCTTTGCAGTTAGTGCTCCACCAGGGTTTTTAGCTCTGGCACATTCCTCAACAGGGCAAACTCGTCATTTCCAAATCAGTGCCTATATGGGCCTTCCTCACTACTTGCCCTTATTTTTGCCACGTATATGCTTCCTTCTTGTCTGAAATGACCGGAGAGCTTAGGATTCAGCCACGTTAAGTTCTCACTGCGCTTTCCAGAGCGGTCCATGAATGGCAAAAGTATAAACTATCATTTATATAAAGCTTTAGAAATAATTTCCTATTCCCAGTTTTTTTATTCTGCATATCCTTTCCTAGGGTCAAAAGATCTGCTTGCTTATTACTTTCCCCTTGGTATTTCAGGTTCTTTAACCCTTCATGGATTTTCTCTGTTTCGCACTTGGTTTAGTCCTCGGTTTATCTGTTGGCTCCACTCTCTCCTGAGTATTGTCCCTGAAAAAGGCTGCTAACCTAGGGTCCTCCCTTTTTCCAGCTGCAATTAAAAGTCTCTAATTTGCAACAAAGAGGCCAGATAAGTTGAGCTGGAAATACTCAAGCACTCTGCCCCACCCAGCGGTGACTGACTGCACCTGGGGTTTTCCTGATTCTCACCTAATGACAGCGGATGAAGGAAATCATCTCTACCCTGGACACAGACTCATTTTCGCGGGCATCAGTTTCATGAGATTTGAAAGCATTAAAAAACACTGAAAGCTTTACAAATTATTTTAGATTTCCGTGTGATTTAGATTTCCGTTCCGGCCGATATTAAGCAGACACTTACAATACATACAATTCAATTTTACCTCTTTGTCAGATCTCTTTAAGTGGTTACACCTATCTAAAAACTGATATCCTGCCATGACCCATTCCTTCTGTATTAAGCTTTGAAATCCAACAATTGTTCGAAAATAGGGGTCCAGCATGATTTGAATGAGAGAAGCAGCAAGGCAGCTCAGGTCCCGTCCCTCTTCCTCTGTAACAAACGGAATGGATGAAGTATGTGAGGTATATATGCACAGAAGCACATCTCAGAGAGCCAAAAAGTGGCCACAAGGCATTGCGTTTGACTTCTAAAACAAGCTTGTTGCTGCTGTAATTGTATTTTTTTTTCTTGACTGAGACTCCTACTACAGAAAAGATTCCTGCAGTATCCAGCACAACGCATTCATCAAGAACAAAACGTACACCCTGACATCTGGTAACGAAGCCCAGATGTGCTGAGGAGGGTGTTCGCTCTGCTGGAAATTTTCAACCTATTTTCCACCCTGAAGCAGTTTCTGGAAGGCCATTCTGTGGGGATGGTGTGAGGGACCAGCTCAACGGGTCTTCTCAAAATTACAGAAACAACATTGCTGATCTCGAGAGGAGCAAGTTCCTCAGTGCCTTTTTTCCCCCCAGAATACCTGTTAACGCTTACCCAGCAGCAGCCAATATTAGGGAAATACTTATGTAAGATCTCTGAATAAAACTGTTACTGCTTGTGCAGGCCTGAGCCCAATTAACGCCGTACAGTTCACCCTGAACTTTTGATTCTATCATACCTTTATCACAATAAAAAGCACAAAGAGTCAAAGTGGAATAGTGCTTTGACGCCACGTACGTTACAGACACATAAAATTATTTCCCTTTCTAGCTCCTCAAATGCCTCAAATATTTAGAAGCAGTAGAGTTGAGGTATAAAGATTACAGTCAATTTTACGTAAATGCTTTTATTGACATTACCGTACCACCGCAATATGGTTGTATTACCTTGTAGAACTACAGAAACGTGCTTACACTCCATCATATACACAAGCTCAGCAGAATGCTTCAGAAACGATCTAGACAGGAAAAGAAAGCGATGCAGCCGTTAAGGTAACGGGTTCACACTCCAGAAGATAAAAGCCATTTGGATATCTGTATTCACCGAACTCAAAACAGAGTCCTCCAGCTCCTTCACTGCTTATTCTGACTGGTGAAAGTTTTTCACAAATCATCAACTGTAATTTTATTAATGGTACAAACCTAATATACTCTAACCAGCGAGTATTTTCCAGGGAGGACAGCCACTTCTCTTCGGTTTCCTCGAAAGGCTCTGCAACAAGGAAAGCGATTACACTGCAGAACAACTTCAGGCAACTATTCCTGTTAGCCAGCGCTGTCAGCATCTGTTCTAGTTGAAGAACAGAGCTGCTGCGAAAGGGCGGGCCAGCGCACCATTAACACACAGCTGCTTGAGTTTGATATGTGCAGCCTGGATTTCCTGGATGGTGGGGAGACACTTGTCCAGATCGGATTTGTAAACGTCACTTCTCAGGGGATGGCTTCGAGTTATAGCGTTGCAAATCCTAAGAAAAAGGATCGGCCGTTTTATTATTGGAGAAGACAGGGACAGTCTTTCAAGAGACGTGTCACAGTCATTAACTGCAAACTAAAGCCACATAAAACACGCACCTTATTTAAAAAAAACACACAAAACTTTTCTAGTTCATGTGCAGGGGATATATCGCTTGTGCAACAAAGCTATCGACGCCAATATTTCTGGTATCTGCCAGTTACAGAACAAAGACGTGGAACCACTGGATCATTAAAACAACATGCTTGGGAAAGGCAAACCTGAGGCTGATCTATGGTTAAATAGCTCTACTCAATTTTTATCTTTCACAATTTTTTGGAAAGATGTATCCACGCTGAATAAACAGCGCATACACAAAGTTTTTAGAACCGGGGTTTCAAATAAAACTCAGATGCAATCGTTTCTACTACTATGAAAAGTCGCCCTACAAATTAAACCAAAGAACAAAAAATACCACAAGCTGGTAAACTACTTAGGCAAGCGCCTAAATGCCTTCAGCTTTCATCATGTACAGTGAACAACAAATATTTTGCAGAAATATCACGTGCCTTGTGGCACTACATCTACAGAACCCTATTTCCTGCTGCCATAAATAAATAACTTTCCCTGTGTCTTGCTGAAGCAGGTGGGGAAATCTCCACCGACGTTAAGCTGTAATGCAGTAACAGCGACAGAAAAGATGAAGCCTGATCCTTTTATCCCTAAATTCTCTCATCTCAGTGACTACCCCCCTAAAAAATAAGCAGCCCTTGAAATTTGAAGAATTATTCAGTATTCAAAACGGAAGTGGACCCTGAACAGAAATTCTGGCAGAACTATATTCAGAGAACAGTTTCTCAAAAGCTGCAACGTTATGAAGCAAGTGTCCTCCCCAGTAGCAGCTGCTGCTCTGCGCTACACACAGCGTAGCCCGATTAAAGAATAACGTAACTCCTCCTTTACCTTTGGTCAATTCTCCTTTGTTGCAAGACATCTTTAATGTTGGCCATTCTAACAAGGGCACTCCCATTAGGGTGATTCCAGGACCATAACTAATATGCAGGGGAAAAAAAAGAGAACAGAAAAGAATCAACAAAATAATGCAGGTCAGTGTTATTCCACAGACTTTTTTTTTTCTTAATGCTGTTATCCTAAAGTTATCTCTAAGATAACACAACACTATGTTGTTATCTTAAAGATAACAAGTGTTGTGCGCAGCCGTAAGACCAAAATAGACATGTACATAAAAAAAATAGATACATAGGTACATAAAAAAATAGATACACACAGTGTACGCATCTTTAAGATTGATATTAGACAACCGTTGGCAACAGCGACAGAATAAACACTGCACTTACTGGCATTCGTCTCCCGATAAAAGAGTAGGAGTATAGCTTAAGGTCTTGATCTGCTAAGGAAGATGGAACCACAAAATATTCTGGAAGGCTTGGGGAAGAAAAAAAAATGATACAAAAGGTTACTTTTCCTTAGGTATCACACCAGCTTCTGTCCCGTCGCAGCTCTGGTAAACCATACCGGTACAGCCCTCGATAGCCCAGCACCGCCCGGCCGCCCGGCACGAGCTTTCGTACAGCGCGGCTGCGGCTCTTTGGCAACAGGCACGACTCAGCGGCACGTACAAAAGCACGAAAGCAACAGGTGCCAGAACAGGAGGTTTCCTTTCGTGACAACGCTCGCGGGGTCGTTCAGCCGAGGGCGCACGTAAGAGGTGAAGCGCGCAGTGAGGCAGGATGGGGACGTCGGTAGAGGAGAGAGGGAGAGAGAGCGCAACCGCCTGGTTTTCTGCTATTTGTGGTGCGAGAGAAACTTACCAAGTAGATATCATATAACCTTCATTGACTGAACAAACTCGCCACTCGGAGGCACCTGTCCTTTTGATTTCTCTATCCCAATCAGAGTAAGTTTCAAACAAAGGTGTCTGCTGACCACTGGCACTGCCGCTGCCACCACCACCACCTCCCGGGTCTATTCCATTCACCTTCTTTGCTAGGAAAAGAAAATTCATCAATGCACATTTAAAAAACAAAGAGGGGGGAAAAATAATCAAACTCTTTGCCTCCCTAATTACAACAACGAGCCGCCAGCATCAGGACTAACGTAACCTATTTTTCTATGACAACAGGTGAGTGATTTAATGATAGCTTGGTGAGGCATGAAGATATAAAGGTATTTTTTGCTGTAATTTCAACACAGGAGCAACATAAAATCTGCAGTTGTGCTGCTTGATAGAAAGGAAGACATACTAATGCTCAGGAACAAATGTTATCTTTGGTCACAAGATTCTCTCTTCATCGTGTCGACGTTAGCGGCATTTTTAAAACCATGAACTCTTTATAGGCTGCCCTTTAATTAGGTATGTTAGGAATAAAGCAAAATAAAAATTAGGTAATTTCAGCAGTTTTAAATGACTGCTGTATTAATAGCAAATAACGTAAACCAAAGGGCAGGTAAAAAAAAAAAAAAAGCTTTTATAAATACATATATATACACTTATATCCACACAAAAACCCAGCCAGCTGTTTTGTGGCTGGGGAGCAAGATGGGCTCGTCTGCTACGAGCACGGGAGAAGCTCCTTTGCTGGTCATTCTTTAGGTGCCAAGGGGGCAGCCCGCCACGTCAAAGGAGACGACCTTTTGTTTCCTGACACTTAGAGAGTAAATTTTAAATGAAAGCGGAATAAACTGAGACTCAATCCTACCACCTCCCCCTCGGAAGCTCCCGGGTTTAGCAGGAGTCCGAGAAGACCTGCCCAAACCAAGCAGAGCCAAACTCTGCTCAACTGCCGTCTCCATCCACCCACCGCCTTCATTCTTGTGCTAGTGCTCAGACTATTACGGTTTTTTGGAAGAAAACTGGACTGAAATCAGAATAAAGTAGTTGTTCAAAGACGGAATACAGAGAAATAGGGTAATTACAAAAAAAAAAAAAGTTAAAATTTTACTCTTCAGTGGCAGAATATATCAATACAGCCTGAGAAAAAATGACGCACATCTACAGGAGAGCAAAGCAGGCTCTTTATGTTCCTCAAGAAGCATAAAGACAATATTCCGACTTTTATCTTTCTGGGACTAGCAGGGACAGAGACTAATAAAGCACGGTCCTGGAACTGTAAGAGCAAAGCCCGAGATCTACACTACAAACACTGGGCTTCACCAAAAACCCCAACCAAACAACGCAAACCAAAAGTATTTCAAACTCTTTTCTCCAGCAACTGCAGCTCAGCAGAACAACTCTCTTTGCCATTCTGCTCTGCTGCTCCAGAGGAACATTTTTTTACCCACCTTACGTTATTTCTTCCACTAGGTATTTTTCCACACAGCAAAGGGTATTTTAAGGACCGAGTAAAGGCAACTTCGTGACAAACTAACATTTCGCTCACACTCCGCTTCAAAATTTTATTGTAATTTTATCTGAAAATTGGCTTTCTCCCTAGTACTTCGTAACGCTAAAGTACATGGACCTTCATAACCGCCCGAGTTCGATCAGGTGAGAAATTCCACGTGCCATTATGGGTGCAACGCAGTCACGTGCACAGTTTTGAGCGTGCACCGGGCAGTTGTGCAGACACCCGCGTTTAAAATAGGCATTTTGGCACAAATCCGAAGGCCTGAGCTCATCGTTCCACACCATTCCCATTTTGTAACAGGCAGATGGGTGGTGTCTAGCGCTGGCTGCTGAGTGAAACACTCCAGTACCACAGAGCTACGTCCACGGCACTTTGGGTGCCTGGAGGCTTGTCATGCTAGAAGGGATGGCTCTCAGCTGTGTACTGGCTGGGGAACACTAGCAGTGACCGCACAGCATCACACTAGAAATGAAGTTCCAAAGGCATCTTTTTCAGGCTTACCTAACTGACAAGGTTCAGTTGGAGATTGGCCTTGAGCAGAGAGGGTGTGCTCCAACTCAGCAGGGGTGGTGGAGGTTTTGAGTGGGAAGAACTGCCTAGTAAGCCTCTAGGAAAGAAGGTATGGAGTCCCAAGTTGCACAAATCCTCCTGCAATACCACCAGAAGAGAAACTTATTCCCAAGAGAAGGGCAGGTGAACAAGCCTGCCTGATGGGAGATTAGCTGGGTACCTACAGTACCGACAGAGACACACGACAGGAGGATCGAAGCGTGAATTGAAAAATAGGAGTATTCATGCTGACATAGATAGTTTTGGTTTGCTTCAGGCAGGAAAGACATTTCTTTCGATTTCGAGCGTTAATGTCTATTGCAAGGAATAACTTAGAACCCAAAGTAAGAGGCTGGGTGCAAGACAAGCCAATTTTACTATCCCTGGAGAAAGCCTCAAGTGCTTTTTGCCACTGCTTCTAGACAGAAGTCTTACTAAAATTACATATTATGAAATAGGAAAAAAAAAGAACCAATCAAAATGCCTTCATGCTTACCTGGATTATGATATATTTCGCCAACGTACTCAAATGCAAAGAGAAGCTGAAGATCTGTTGGCTGAGAATAATGAGCTATCGCAAGGCACACCTAGGAAAGAAACACTTATTACTGTTACTTATCGGCGTAAAATTTGTTGCCCTTAATTTATGACAGCGTTAAATGCGCAGTGCCAAAATTAAAAATCGGTCTTCTGATGTTTTATTTCATTTGAGGAGCAAACGACAGAGTCAGACGTGCTCGTATGTGCTGAGAGCCCCTTACTGTCATCACGGCAGGTGAGCCACGACCACCCAGCGAGGGCGCTTAACGGATTAAGGGTCGACTCTTTTTTTGCGAGAAAGGTCAGGCTGCAGCGGGCAGCCCGAAACACCACCCTCTGCATCGACAGAGACAAGCCAGGACCTGGAGCTACTGCGCTGTGCCGGCCCACCTGCACAGAGAGCTAAGGAGAGTAGGAAAATAAAATAAAAAAAAGAGCACGACACAGAGGTGGTGAGCACAGTACGGCAAACGCTCATCTGCAATTGGTCTTTTGATTTCTTTCTTTCCTAAATAAGACCACTTGCAGCACGTGAACACAAGAACGGCCACAGCGAGTCGGTGCAAAAGGCCCGAGCTCTATCCCTGCCAGCGGGCAGCCCTCGGTGCTTACGGAAGAGGGTCAAAACAGAGAAAGCATGAAATGAACTTTTACTGGGACATTTCTGCAAGAGCTCACAGTTCAGGCACTCCCTCAGCTCAAATCTGGCATCGCTATTCAACGGCGTTTGGCAGACATTGCTTCTACAAAGCTGTCAATTAGGTCAAGAGTTTTTTGAAGTGCGACTTCCCTTTACAAAAGCCCCACTGAAGTGTCATATTTAACCAAAAGTTTGTATCTAATTATAATTTTATTATCTTTTCCACTAATTTACCTGATGAACACGCATAAGCTTCAGGCTTATGGTCTGTGCTACCCAAACCTCTGCTCTCGGAAGGGAAAACAAGAGGTTGCTCTTTGGAGACTTCCAGGACCTTTGCCAGTCCTGCAGCTCCTGAAGTTGTATTCCCAAATTATGAAGGGCAGTGATGAATATAAAAAATGGAAAGCAAATTCTCTGGTAAGAAAAATCAGCTTTTTTCCCCCCAAGTTACTTGGAAATCTTTTCTTCACGTGAGTCACCTGCATTTTGTTTGTCAGCTGACTGGCAGGCCAGACACTCTCCAGCAATCTCCAATTTCCATAAAAAGCGACTCTTTTGGGTAGGTCCTTATGCCAAGTGTGGGGGATCTACGGTTACTTCTATGTGACCACAGTCTCCCTCTTCCCAGTCCTGAGCTGACCTTAAGAACTGAACCACCACTCAAACTTTCTGAGGGCAGCGAGACGTCAGCTTTGTCAAATTTTTGGCCTGGCCCTTAGAGGCTCCGTCCCAGATCACTGGATTTCATTCCACCCACAGCTTCCAGATGCCCGCAGGTCCGTAGCAAGCTCCAACACCGTCTGCACTGACTGGGTTTAACCAGGCTGAGTCACGAGCCCGGCCCTGGGAAGGGAAATTCAGCAGAGATTTAAAAGAGAGACGTGTGCTCGGAACAGCAGAGTTAGCTTGGCCACAAGGACGACTCTTGCTGAAGTCGGGGGGTACCTAATAGCTGCCTTCCAATAGCTATGGGGAACCTACAGGAAGGCTGGGGAGGGACT